TCGATCACATTTACCTTGAAAAAGTCACTCAAGGTCAAGTCCATATTTTTATCATGTGGTCCCCTCGAAACCATGCAACTTTTGTCTGAAACATTTTTGTCTATCGGGCTCAGTTTTCGAGATATTCGCGTAGATTGATTAAAATGGTTCATCCTGTATATAAAAAACTACTAAATTTTTTTCTAGATACATTTTATATATCACCGTATATCGACTCACCGAAACCGAAGGGAAGTGTCAAATCTTTACTTAATTGTCCATCTTCCTTCAAAAATCTTTCTGGTCTGAAGTTCTTGGGGTCGCCCCACATATCAGGATCACTATTCATTGCCGCCAAGTTGGTGACAACCGGCGTGTTTGCCGGTATCTCGTAGCCTCCTAACGTAGTTTTTTTCACGGTTTTATGAATTATGCCGAGCGGGGCAAGTGTCTCGATTCTTAAAGATTCACGGATTGTCGCTTCCGTATAGGGCAGACTGAAACAAAAAAAGAATACCTTCAAATACGAGGTTTGATCAAAAAATACGCGGATTTTTGTTTTTCTCAAAAAATCTTCCCAGCAAACACAGATACATAACTGTAACATTGCCATAATAAAACGGAATGTAACAAGTAATATAACGTATTTGTTACATGTAACATTCACGTTAGTTGTAATTTCCCACTCATACAAAATTGCAGTTATATAACATGAATATAACATGTTACTAAAATGTTATATGATTGTTACAGTCATGTAATAGTCCACCCAAGTAGCAAACTGACGTCACAATGACAGTAAATTTTGGTCACAAGATGACCAATTAGACATCCTAAGTTAGATCTCATGAGACCCGAAAATGTCTCGTTGATATGTCACATCCACGAGACGTCATTTTCTGACGTTTGTTTGACGGCAAAACTAAGACCAATTACAGTAATAATATAACACATATTAATGTGATATATATTATAGGTAAATTTAAATAATTTAATTTATAAAATTAAAGATTTTATTTATATGGAAGTTAATTTATATTTTATATCTTAAGTAAATAATAACAAACAATTATTTTCACTTATTTGGACAGAAATCGTCCAAATAAATGAAGATCGGACATTTATATCTGTCCGATTTTCCAAAAATCAGTTCAATATCTGAATTTCCTGGTACGGGAATCGTATCAGAAATTGAACTGATAAAAATAATTACAATGTTATTAGCCGCATTTTGCAGGCTTTATATACGCTCATGACAAGAATTTGAATACGGGTATAGATAGTGAATAGTGCGCCGTATAGCGGTAAGCAAATGAACTATAATCCCAATATTAGTTACAAAAGGACTTTATTTGGACGGTCATAGGACGTTTTGAAAATTACGTCTTTGGCTAGTCTAAGAAATGAGATCTTTTAAACATCAATTATTAGTCGCCGACATTATAGACCAAAAATAGACGTCATTATGTCGTCTTTTGACGTTACTCTGTTACTTGGGCAGTTACATTACATACTCCCATGTTACATAGCAGTTATATTCTGGTGTTATATTGCTTAAATAAGAGATAGTTATATAATCCCAATATAAATTAGGTATAACAACCGTTACATTACATGTTATTCCCATGTTATATAGCAGTTATATTCTGTGTTTGCTTACTTGTTATTTTTATATGTTTTGAAAAGGGCATAATCTTGTCATCAATATAAATATTAATATGTAAATTTGGGAACACAGCAACTCTTTTTCTGACACTGAAATCATTTTCTGCCTTCATAAAATCAAAAAATGTATTGTTTCCTCTTGAAAATCTCCAATTCGAAGAAGGCCGTTCGACTAAATTCAAATTTCTTTGCAAATATTTGAATTTTAATTCATCTGTCTCATGCTCTATATTCTTTGTGTTTTCTTCGGGGTGATTACGATAACTTTGGCCCCCTATTTGAAAGGTCGTTTTAGAAGACATTTTTGACGAGGAACACGGGAAAAATAGTAAAAAAAATTTCCGACCAATAGTTTTCGAGATATATCACTTTAAAGTATTTGTTACTTTTATATATTTTGAAAAGGGCATAATCTTGTCATCAATATAAATATTAAATTTGGGAATACAGCAACTCTTTTTCTGACACTGAAATCACTTTCTGCCTTCATAAAACCAAAAAATGTATCGTTTCCTCTTGAAAATCCCCAATTCGAAGAAGGCCGTTCGACTAAATTCAAATTTCTTTGCAAATATTTGAATTTTAATTCATCTGTCTCATGCTCTATATTCTTTGAGTTTTCTTCCATTATACTGAAAAAATACTATGCATTATTCACTTTTACTTAATCAAAAGTTTACTTGTTTACTTCTATTACTTACCTTTCTGTTTTATTGCTTTCGACGAGGATATTTTCCATCTCGCGCTATCGGAATACGTTATAACAATGCACACAATAAAAGAAACTCTTTTTTAATGCTCTCAGTTTATTTGGCTTTATAATCGCAAATCGCAGCAACAAACATGTGCAGCGATGCAACATGTACAGCTGACCACGACACTGCTTTAGGTTAGCTTTAAATATGGCGTCCATCCATGAGATACTATTCCTTTCAGCGGACTCCCTCTCAATTAGAGGTTCGTATATTTGTTTTTAACAACTGAGTCCGTTTCAATTGCAGAAACACCGATTTAATAATTGATTGTGACTCATGAAAACAGCAAATCCGACTTCACACTACATAAGATTCACTTTTCATCTGCGAAATGATGGAATTTTTTATTAAAAGGGATTATTTTTATCTATGGATTGATTATGGTTAATTTCAATTTAATTGCATTAAAACAGGTTTAATTATAACTTGAAAGTAAAGAAAAGTAACTATTCCGCGTTTCCGCGAATTGAGTCGTTTCTTTCCGCACATTTGAGCGGAATCCGCGGAATCCGTTACCGTCTCAACAAAACTCAACAAAAGTGTATAGAAAATATAAAAACTTTATAAATGGATGGTCCTGTAAGTATTTGAATGCTTTTTAGTACTTAATAAACATAGTAGCTTGTTATTTTTGGAGACATTCTGAGATAGTTAAAATATTTTTCAGGATCTCCCAATCGCATCTTCACAAGTAAATTGTCGCTGTCACCTTGAAGAAGTCTTCTTGTCTCAGTAAAAATAGGCCGTACCCATATTTTACGGTTCTTTCTGCCTTGCAGTTTCTTGTAACGCAAATATAAAATATACATTGAGATAACCTTTTTCATAGTTATCTCTGCATATCTCATCGGTTCATCCCGTGCTTATATGAGATACTTCATAATAATCATCAATATGATATTTGGATCCATTATTATACTGTTACTTTTAAAATAATAAAATAATCGAAATATATAAAAACGTTTTTCTTCACTCGACTCCGAAATTTGATGGAATATACTGTATCCACTTAATATTTGATGCGCTCGTTCCGCGAATGTTTTTTCCTTATATTACATGAAGCACAATTTGCGCGGAAAAGCGGAACGATATGGTAAAAAATAAATATCATTTTTCATTTTTTAACATTGTTTTCACTTAATTAATTGTAATTTTCATTAATATGCTTATCTTTTTAGCTTATCTATTGAATATAAGCATTTTAATCAATAAATATCGTTAAAAATTAATATTTTATAATTTTCCGTTCCGCTTTTCCGCTCAAAATCTGCTCCATGTAATACAAGGCAATCAAAACAGACGGAACGGAACGCGGGAATCTGGTTACTATTCTCTTCCGCGTTTCCGCGCTCCATGTAATGGCACCCTCAAATGCAGCCCTGTACCAAAAAATTGACCCCAAAAAGTATGTATTACGTATGAGAAGTAAACATCTACGCATGCGTGACCTAAGTAGAAATCAGTAGGAAAGAAGAGGATAGGAGATAGATATGTAATATGGCCGATGTGTACAGACGAAAAGTGTTCTTGTGTGTGTGTGCTGTGTGCGCATGTGTGTGTACATACTTGTCGGAGCCATGTATTTCGCAAGAGTTAGCGGTCTAGTATATATGGAAGTCTGTGGCTTTAGCCCAATGCTGCGATTGGGGCGCATTCTAATGGCCGCGTTCAGCAGAGAAAATCGCTTAGTAACAATCGAATGTAATTGGTTCTTACTTTTAGATCCAACGAATCAACGTCAAGTGTTGATAAGACAATAACTGAGCGCTTTCTCTGCTGAACGCAGCCATTTTCATATCAAGCATCAAGCGAGAGGGTGCACGTGCACATCATGAAGGAAGAGTAAGGAGAGTTATCTACCTAGATTAAAAGTGGTCACGAAAAATGTTCCGTATGTGGCCAGGTTTGCCGAATGGAATATCTTGGACCATTTCGTCGCCATCTTGAATCTTCGTATATGTATAGTGTTACGTTTAGTTGTGGTAGTAATTAGTAAGTCTTCTTCTTCTTCTTCTTCTTCTTTTATGGCTGGTTGGGCATTAATCGCCCATACACCATTATTTCTTATAAATGGTCCTGTTTTTTAGTTTGTTGATATGAGCTCTCCATTTTAATTCCGAATCGAGATAAATCCCCAGAAAACGAGGCGACCAGGAATTTGGAATGTTAGTGTTGTCTAATTTGAGAAAAAAATTGTTGTTCCTAAGTAATACACGAAGATTCCTCGGTTTCATAGACGAGAAAATGGTGTAAGCTGATTTCTCAGGGGCGATCTTTAGACCAAGACGTCCGAAAAACACCTTCAGACTTTCGACAGCCACGCCGAGTTGACCCTTTATTGAATCCAAGTTGTTATCCATGTAATATATGGCAATATCATCCGCGTACATTAGTATTTTCATATGCTCTGGAAGGCAAGAATGAGCCAATGCTACGTATATATTGAACAGAGTAGGACTGAGAATGGAACCCTGTGGCAATCCTCGGTCGGTACTTCTAGTCTGAAGAGGGATACCAGCTGCGTATCCTGTAAGGTTTCGGTTGGTGGTGGTTTTCTTGATAAAACTTATGATCTTCTGAGGAAGGCCAAATTTCTCAAGTAGAATTAAAAGGGCTTCTGGTAATACGTTGTCAAAAGCGCCGACCAGGTCCAAAAAGACGACTCCGGTGAATTTACGGTGTCTGTTAGCCAAATGGATATCAGTAATGAGAGTAGCCACATTATCCATGCAGGAGAGACCTCTACGAAATCCGAATTGATGTTGTGATAGTACCTTGTTGTTTTCGGCCCACCACTCAAGGCGTTTTAGGATTAATTTTCAAAGATTTTATGTAGATTATTTGCGACAGATATAGGTCTTAATGCTTTTTTTCCACCAGGTTTTGGAATAAAGACCGTGAAGTAGTTGTTCCATTGCGATGGATATGACCCTTTATTAAAAAAACAGTTGAAAATTTTGAGAATCAACTTGTGTAGATTTTCCGGCAGTTTCTTGATGATTTTGTTTGAAATTAGATCCGGACCCGGAGCTGACTTGGTTTTTAATGAAGAGACTGCAGCGTTGAATTCATATATAGAGAAGTTTTTCTGCATGAAAGCAGCGTCACAACTGGCTGTAAACGGAAGGTCAGAGAGTGCCCCGAGATCGCTGGTGGAAAGCGGCGGAACCGGAGTATGGGGAGCCAGTTTGTTAAAAGCAGCATGGAATTCCTCCTCGTCAATAACACGTTGACTGGAGTTACCAGATTTCTTATTTGAGAAGGCTCGAATATAAGACCATATTCTTGGAATCGGTGTATTGACATCCAGGGACGTACAAAATTCTCTGAAGGCAATCCTTTTCTTTCGGGAAAATTCCTTGGAAACAGTTTTACAGGTGTCCAAGTATTTTTTGAGATTGTCTGAGGTAGGAGACTTCTTAAATTCTCTGAAGACCTGACACTTATGTTCAACTTTGACGTAGCAATCATCATTCCACCATGGAGCCGGAGCTTTTCTCCGATGTTTGTTAGCTTGAGAGCGTTTGGCACCTGCTTTTTCCAGGGCCTTATGAATGTTGTATATTATTTCTTCATATGTAGAGTTGAGATTGGATTTAATGTCATTTGTTTAGGGGAGTCTAAATCAAAGGATGAAGAGGTAGAAATAGTGGTCGATGAGCGTTGAGGTGATAATGATTTGGGAGATGGAAATGCTGGTGTAACTTCAGCATTATTTTTATTTTTGTTAATATTTTTATTTTTATTTATACTGTTAGTGTCGCTAAATAAGCGGAACGTCCGCTAAAAGCGGGAAGATTATACTTTCCCGATCACCACTAATGAATTTACACTTACTATAATTAGTAACAAAATTCACAACTCAATTCAAAGGAAATAATCTTTGAAAATTCACAGATTGACGAATAATACGTATATCACAGAATAGCTCGCGCACCGGAAGTCCGTAATTAGTAAGTAGTGTGTCATCCATAGACATAGTATATCTAGACCTTAGAACATATATAAATGGGAGGGAAATGCCTTTGTTTCCTGATAGAAAAACATGTCCGTGCGAGCGAGAGAGAACGCAAGGGGCACAAAACAGAGTATGTCCCATAGACATAGTATATCTAGACCGAGTGTTGAGGAGTGGGGGCCGATCAGTGTTGTTCTCAGGGACGCTTTCTTGCGCATGCGCAGCGCATTGGTAGAGAAATCCAGCGACGGCGTATGTAGTACATAAGAACGGACTATGAATATATATGTTCTAAGATCTAGACCGAGCGTTTGCCTTTATTTAAGAAGTGGGGGTATAGATACACGTAGAAAAGGACATACTCTGTTTCGTGCCCCTTGCGTGCTTTCTCGCTCGCACAGAGCATAGCGCTCTCTTTTGTCATGCTACGTGCGAGCGAGAGAGAACGCAAGTCCATTTGGCAAACCTGGCCACATACGGAACATTTTTCGTGACCACTTTTTTTCTCTCTACACTATCGAGATAACTCTCCTTACTCTTCCTTCATGGTGCACATGGTATAAATCTAACCTTAATTGTCCCTAACCTCTGACTCGTGTATACAGTGCATTTTATAATTGGAATTCTATCTTAGAAGGTATTACTTATATGTATATATATTTTTGACAAAATATCGAAAAATATTTTTGTTGAATATAAAATTAATTTTTACGAAAGTTAAAAACGTAATATCTACAATTAAATTTTTTTAATTCTGTTTGTATGAGAGACATTTCAATCTTGAAAGAAATGAGTTTAAAGAAGATGTTACCATTATATCTTTTTCTTTATATATTTAATATATAATATATACACTACTCTAATACATAATATAATATATTATAAAATATATTATAATAATATATGTATAACATTAAATCTTTAATATATGTATAACATTAAATCTTAACATATATTTTTATATATAGAGTGTGACATTTATTACTATTTTCTATATATTGAATGATATTTGTGTTATGTAGGCACAATGGCTAAATCACATGGCACTACTAAAGCCCCGCGAAAGCAGGGCTTTAATCGTTCAGGGCATAGCATGAATCCTGAACGCCCCACGGAAGGATTAAAAGGAGTTGCTAAAGTACGAACAAAAGCGACTATTAAAAGATTACAGATGTATCGCAATCAGAAACCGAAACGCAATCGTTCTGGAAAGATCATTAGCCCCGCGCCCTTTCAAGGCTGGAACACTTCTGGAACTATGTCGCGCGTGGAGCCATCCCGAGGATGGTTTGGTAATTCAAGAGTTATCTCACAGAATGCTCTACAAAAATTCCAGAATGAATTGGGAACCGCTATGAAGGATCCCTATAAGGTCGTCTTGAAACCAACTCAATTGCCTATAACTTTACTTCAACAAAAGGCAGCAAATGCAAGAGTACACTTGTTAGATACGGAAAGTTTTGAAAGCGTTTTTGGTCCAAAGAAGGTCAGAAAGAGACCCAATTTGATGATAACGTCCTATGATGAATTGAAAAAATCGGCCGAGGAAAAGGAAGATACCTACAACAAGGAGAAGGATACCAAAGATTATGATCTAATTCGCGAGGACACTGGTGTAAGAGATGCACAGAGGGAGTGGATCATGGGAGCGGGACAAAGTAAGAGGATATGGAACGAGCTGTACAAAGTCATTGACTCCTCGGACGTTATTCTGCAGGTATTGGACGCGAGGGATCCAATGGGAACCAGGTCTCCTCCTGTGGAGAAATTTCTAAAGACCGAGAAACCTTACAAACATCTGATATTTATCTTAAATAAAGTAGATCTAGTACCAACGTGGGTCACACAAAGATGGGTGGCAATTCTGAGCAAGGAATATCCAACGGTCGCCTTTCACGCTTCCTTGACACATCCCTTTGGCAAAGGCTCCCTGATAAATCTGCTGAGGCAATTTTCGAAATTACACGTTGATAAAAAGCAGATCAGCGTGGGTTTCATAGGATATCCCAATACAGGAAAGAGTTCTATCATAAACACCTTGCGTTCCAAGAAAGTCTGCAAAGTAGCGCCTATAGCCGGTGAGACGAAGGTATGGCAATATATAACTCTCATGCGCCGCATTTATCTGATAGATTGTCCTGGCGTTGTCTATCCATCGACGGAAACCGACACGGAGAAAGTGTTGAAGAGTGTCGTGAGGGTGGAACTCGTTCAGAACCCGGAAGATTACATCGCCTCCGTTCTAGAGAGAGTGAAACCTGAATACGTACGTAAAACGTACAAAATAGATAAATGGGAGGATCACGTCGATTTCTTGGAAAAATTGGCTCATCGAAGCGGCAAGCTTTTGAAGAAGGGAGAACCCGACATAACCATCGTCGCGCGTATGGTGCTGAACGATTGGCAACGCGGTAAATTGCCATTTTACATTCCACCAGTAGGCTTTGAAGAGCCACTATCAGAACAAGCGACTAATGCAAACGAGACAATTACCGCGCGAGATAATGCACCAAATGTCACTGATGAAACGATACAAAAGAGTGATAGCTTATCTTCAACGGAAGCAATACAGAATGGATTGACAGTGACCCAAGATTTTAGAAAAATACGCGTTGCATTGCATTATTCGAGCGATGACATCAGAAAGGATTTGGAGCAGGATACTTTAGATGAAAGTATTGAAAAAGACGATAGTAATATAGAAAGCGAGTCAGAATCGGAAGATTCAGAAATGGAAGATGTAGCGAAAGATAAATCTCATACAGAAAAATCGACAAATTTGGATAATGATAAGGAATGTTCTTTAAACATTGATGATAACATTCTCGAAGATCATGATGAGGATGCGATCGAACAGGACAATCTGAGACAGAACGCGTTCGATGTTATAGACAATGAATATAATTCCAACGACAGTGAAATGCTTACTTCCAAGGTGCGTTCAAGTAGCGGCACGTTCACTATCTCGTCAGTGTCCACGAAAAAAGCGACGGAAAAATTAACAAGTAAACAGCGAAGAGCCATAGAACGCGCGAGTAAGAGGAAGAAGATAGGAAGCAATTTCTACGAAGTGACAAATGTGAAAAACAGAAATAGAAACAGAAAAGTTCCCAAGATCAAAAGAGGGTGATAAATCGATTCTAGACTAAATTAAATCGATTTTCTTCAAGTAGTTATAAAAAATGCGAGCAAGAGTTGAGATTTTTGTATAAAAATATATTTTATATATCTCAAACTTGTTACATCATATATCTCTATCTCCTTTTCCTGTAAAATTTATGTCATCTCTTTATTATTCTTATCATAATACATAGGAAGAGATAGAGAGTCAAATAAACGTGTGCGGTAACGTAATCAGTCGCATTATGTTACCGTGCGTGATAAATAATTATGTATGTGTATAATAATATACAATGTATATAATAATTAAATATATAATATATAATTTAACATATTCTAGGGAGCCTTTTTCCCATTGTATTACAGCCTAAATCCAATCGCGTTGAACAAAATACGATATAACTTTACGCTGCCGTTGGACGAACGCTTGGTTGCCTTGATAGGACAACATAAAATTCCTCATATCCTTTGTGCTGAATTCCTCCTCCTGCACATTCAACGTGAGTATCTTGAGCATGAAGATTAAATGCATAAATTCGAACTTGGCGTCGGTCGCTAGCTTAGCGTCGAACTTCTCCCTCGTGAACGACTCGGTGTCGCAACCAATTCGGACCAGGATGGCCACGAATGTCTCGTGATATAGATCCATCAGCTCTTCAATGCGATCGTCGCTCGCTTGCGTGCTGGAGAACAGATAGAAGACCATCTCGCGTAGCGGACTGAAGAAGAGATAATTCTGAAAGTCGACGAACTTGACGTCGTCCACTCGGCCGTTCTCGTCGCGATGGAACATGATGTTGTTCACCCAGAAGTCCGCGTGGATGATGGTGGACCAAGGCTCGTCGGGCAAAGCGTTCCACATACCGTGTTTCAACGAGTTAGTCATCGCCGCGTTGCATCGATCGATGTGAACGCCTATTTCTGGATCCTCCGCTATCCTCTTCAGCATGTCGTTCTGCAAGTGCACGAAATCCTCGGTTTCCAACTTTATGCACTTGCTACGTTGCTTTAGCACTTCAAAGTATTTTGGTTGCTTGTACTTGACGGCCATTCCTAGGGCGTGAAATCTCGCCATTGCTCGTATAGCGACTTTCGTATGCTCGAAGTCACATCCTGGATTCCGAAAACAAAAGGCAAGTATAAGAATATCATTGAATGATTAAGCATATTTTCAGCTTTTGATAATCTCAAGTGCAACGATATAATATCTTAAATAAACAATGACAATCATATAGTTGATGTTATCTTAGTAATCAGGTATAACAATCTAATCTTAAATTAACAATGACAATCATAGGTGATATAATCTTAGAAATCTTATATGAAACATTTTTCACGGCTGACTTTATAAAAAGATCGTAATTAACAACTCCTTATTTTCCGTGAATTGCGTCAAGAGAAATAAACGTAAAAACACGAGGAAAAATAGTGTCAAGGATTAAATCTCGTTTTTATTACAAGATCATAAATCATACTTATAACAAAAAATAATATAGATATTGTACTATGTATCGAGTGACATAAATCTCTATTATGTATTTTGTCATAAATATCTCTAAATAGTCAAATTATAATATTAAGCGCACACAAACACACACATATTACTTAAGATTATCAGAAGAGAGTTACAAATTATTCAATATAAATTAATAAAAATCATAGCATGATTAAAATATTACATTATAATTGAATGATTAAGCATAACGTAAATTTGTAATTGCTATTATGATTAACGAATCATAGGATAATTAAAAATTTATATTAACAAATGTTAAATCGAATAGAACGAGATGCGATTTAGAAAAAGCTCGTAAATAATTTATGCTATATTTATAATTGCATTGTGTAAAATTTATAATTTTTCTGCACCGTTTTTTTTTAATTTTGATGATCAAAGAATTCTCGATTAGAAGCATAATTATTCGTGATAATATAACAATAAGCTTAAAATCTCGCACAACTTACAAGGAAACCTCGTAAACTCAAAAATTCTGATTTTGATGAAACTTCACACACATGTAGGGGAGAGGGGAAGGGTAAATAGATGAATTTAGAAAGTTTCCGTTACCGACCAAAAACGATTCTCACTCTTTATATGTAGAGCGGCTTTCGGTTTTCTCGATATATCTCGAAAACTATTCGAGATATCAAACAATGTTTTATACAAAAGTTCCATGGTAAGAACACCTTTATTTAACCACATTAATAAAAATTTTAAAGAATATTCTTTTTCAAAGATTTTTGAAAAAATCTTTTCCAAAAATTATTTTTTTAAAGTTTGTTAATGTGGTTAAATAGAAGTGTTTTTACCATGAAACTTTTGTATAAAACGTTTTTTGATATCTCGAATAATTTTCAAGATATATGAAGAAAAGCAAAAAGTCGCTCTATATTATGAGCGCAGCCGTTACTAGACAGTACGCCCCAGTGTAGGGCGCAAAATTTTAATAGACGCTAATAATTTTTGAAGTGTCCAAAAACATGTGAAAATTGACCGCTCTTACCCGGCCGCCCGCTTATAAAATCTCATTTAACCGGATATAGGATTTAGCAATCCTATCAATCAAAAAGAAAGTAGCCAACAACCTCGATTACAAGGATATTATAGAAATATTCGTAAAGACTAAGGCCAGCAAACATAATTTTTAAATTGCTTTTATCTTATCTTTTTACAAAACGTATTATTAAGAAAAAAAGGTACAAAATATATTAAGCCTCGACAATATTAAAACAAAGACAAAAATAAAAAATATATATAAAAATTTTAAAATATAAAAAAATAAGAAACAAATATAAAAACATATAAAAAAGCAAAAAAAAAACGGAACCATTATCCTGCTACGTCCCCGTCTAGGGAAGATAATCGTAACGGCACCGCATATGGGGGTGATTTCACTCCTTAGAATCTTTTTGGATCGCAACTAAAAAATTTTCATAAAATATATTTATAATAATATCTTAAAACATCCTACAAATATCCTGAACCATCCTGGACATATTCAGGATGATCCTGAGGACGTTTTGTGCTGTCTGGGTTATTAATAGTAATTAATATTGTTACATATGTCTCAAGTACAAAATAGATTTAACATTACCTTTAGCTCTGTCGCAGATGTAATAGCCGCGCTTTTTCAAATTCTCCATTAGAATAACGGCATTATCGTCGAAATCGACGTCCGGATTCAGCGACAATCGGGATTGATAGTACTTAGGCAGTATGTCGAACAGTTCGTCCTCCTTCAAACCGGAGTCACGTTCCAGCTGTTTGTAATGAGGCAAGATGATTTCGTACATGAAGATCTCCTTTCTGAACGAATGCGGACTGTCGAAGATTTTTCGTTGAAATTGCGTCGGCGGCGGCATCTTCGCCACCAAGTAAAGATCCTCCTCCTCCGCCTCGTCATTACGCCTGATCACGGCGTGAACGTCAAAGATGGTACTCCCGTAATTCTCGCCGGGCTGCAACAGGCTCTTGGTAGTATAACGGACCACGATCAGCTGATCGCCAAATGTGCGGCTAAGTATCGGCTGCAGCTCGCGCAACTCGATCGTCTTCAATTCCTCGCCGTTGTTCATGATATCTCGTCGTAAAAAAAAAGAAAGAAATGCCTACACTGATCTATCTATCTGTGTTAACTAGCTGTCGCTTCTCGTATCGGGCCGAGACTGAAGACAGGCCCGAGATACGGGAGCGTAAAATAAGCGCGCGCGCGCGCGCGTGTATTCGTAACACTAGCGAACTGTCATTCCAATTATATGATAATCACCGCCGTATGATCCGCCTCTTCTCCTTTCCAGTCGACCGTACATGCAGCATAAATTTTCGGAGGCACTTCTTTTGCATGTCTTGTTTGAAACTAGAAAAGTTAGATCTTCGTTAAAATGGGGATCCCCTCTTTTATCGGCGTCTCTCACATTCATATCTATCTCATATCTCAATGTATTACTATCATTTACATTTAACACTGTGTATAAACAAACGCTGAATCTTTCGAGATTTTCTTCGAATGCTTTTATATAACTTGGATTTTTTTTCCAACCAATCATCTCTCACTGATGGAGATCAGATGCGCTCATCAAATGACAACGTACTCTTAGAAAAGCTGTTCAACTTAGAGATCGGAGATTAATAAACAGACTAAACTATATGCGAAATCTAACCGTCATTATTAGATACATTCTCGCTAAAATTAATTTTCTTTTTTTCTTAGGAAGTAAATAATTATGCGATCTTTTGCCGAGAGGCTGAAGCCTTATTGAGACTTCCACTCGAATATATTTACGAGATAAATTGTCTACAACTGGATCGTAGAAAGAACATCTTGATTGTATTCCCAATCAGAGATTTATCAATCCTTGCGTATTCTATAATTTATTACGAGATGAAATTAACATACATACGGATGACTCGATAAAAAAAACATTCTTCTGGTTGTCTTCTCGTAATCCCTCACTCTACATGTTCAATGGCTTTTGATTAGATAATCTTATCTTCACTGACTGGCGTATAAGCAAATTCTATATAGAAGCCTAATCAGCCATACAGAAAAAGAAGAAGAAAAAGAAACAGATGATGATGATGATGATTTTATTAACATTTTTTCAATAAAAGCGTAAAACACTTGTAAGGCTATTGATTTTGTACCGAACAATGATGTCAGAATAATTAACATCTATACCGATTCTCTTAGGGATATTAGAAAATACGAGAAAGAACTGTAGAGAGAGATTTTATATCGAATACAAAAGACAGAACTTTCTAGATAAAATGCTAACAAAACGTGCCAGTAGTATGCTAGTAAATTCACATATGCAGCAGATTTTTGTGTGCTCTGTCTTTATTAAACTCAGCTTCATAGAGGAAAGGAGATATCAAGTATGATTTGCTATCACGATGTGACAGTAATAAAATTGCGATAAAAAAAAGTATATATATATATATATATA